AAAGTACCGCCGAGTGGGGCTACGCGATTCGGTGCCCTGCGTATGGGAGTTTAGTGGAGTATTCCCGGCTATATCTTTAGCCGGACGAGTCCCACATACCCCCGCTCGTCAGCGTAGTGACAGGGCGGTGACGGCGTGTAAACGCATTGGGCGAGAAAAAGTACCGCCGAGTGGGCCTACGCGAGCCGGCGCCCTACGTATGGGAGTTGAGTGGAGTATTCCCGGCTATATCTTTAGCCCGACGAGTCCCACATAGCCCCGCTCGTCAGCGTAGTGACAGGGCGGTGACGGCGTGTAAACGCATTGGGCGAGAAAAAGTACCGCCGAGTGGGCCTACGCGAGCCGGCGCCCTACGTATGGGAGTTGAGTGGAGTATTCCCGGCTATATCTTTAGCCCGACGAGTCCCACATACCCCCGCTCGTCAGCGTAGTGACAGGGCGGTGACGGCGTGTAAACGCATTGGGCGAGAAAAAGTACCGCCGAGTGGGCCTACGCGAGCCGACGCCCTACGTATGGGAGTTGAGTGGAGTATTCCCGGCTATATCTTTAGCCCGACGAGTCCCACATAGCCCCGCTCGTCAGCGTAGTGACAGGGCGGTGACGGCGTGTAAACGCATTGGGCGAGAAAAAGTACCGCCGAGTGGGCCTACGCGAGCCGGCGCCCTACGTATGGGAGTTGAGTGGAGTATTCCCGGCTATATCTTTAGCCCGACGAGTCCCACATAGCCCCGCTCGTCAGCGTAGTGACAGGGCGGTTACGGCGTGTAAACGCATTGGGCGTGAAAAAGTACCGCCGAGTGGGCCTACGCGATTCGGCGCCCTGCGTATGGAGTTTAGTGGAGTATTCCCGGATATCGCTTTAGCCGGGCGAGTCCTACACACCCCCGCTCGCTAGCCCAGTGACAGGGCGGTGACGACGGCGAGTTGTAACGTACCTCAGGGGCAATTCTTCCATTTGGCAATCATAGTTTCCATTTTACACAGCATACTAGCATTATTTATCCTTTTTTCATTTTATTTATTACTGGAAACGCACAGTTTCATTGATATCACACACTAATTACCATTTTGTAAATACGTATCAGAATCCCAACTTCTTAAATTGCGATTTTGGAATTCCAGAGTGCTAGACGCTTACCGGCATTTCTCCATGTCCTTATACATATTTATAATTACTCGCTTGTCTATTTATTTAATGTTATATTTAAATCTACTTTTTTTTATTTGTTAATGTTTAAGAGCCCTTTCACATTTTATGCAAAAAATCGTAATTTTTGAGCGCCTCGTTTACCCCCTTAGAAAAGATTTCGACTATTTCCAATAGAAGTAAACAGTAGATTTATCCTTCCTTTTGTAAGTTAATGTAAAATATTTGCAAATGCTATTTTCCTTTTTCTCTACTGATCGTTCTACCGCAGCTAGTTTACGGAAAAAACGATAATTTGCACAACTTCAAACGCCTAATTCTCTAAATAATGTTGAATAAATTAGATCAAATTAATTACTATGACATCAGAAATATGTTTTTGTTGTAACATAATTTATTAGAATTTTGATTTTGCATCTCATTAATTATCAAAAAAAACATCTAACCTACGTGAGTTTTCCCAAAAAACAAAGCAGGTTTACCCGTATTTTGATATTGAATTAAATAGAATAACTATCAAAAACTTTCATAAGACTAATCTACCATTATTGAACTACTAAAATATTTATATATTTTTATAATTAGTTCATTAATAATTATTTTATAAGACTCGAAACATCACCCGTATATTGCAATATTACTAGTGCAAATCTACCTACGCGCCGATCAGTACGGTAGCGGCACAATTTTGCGTAAACGCATTGGGCGTCTACTACAAAAAACTACTCTACCACCTTCAGTAGGGCGCAGTGCACACCCGGGTCACCCGGAGAGGCGAGGCGTCGACATATTTATTTATTTATTTTGCATTCTTGTACTTGATACAATTAACGAGCGGCGACCTTGTGCGTGGCCCAGCCGGCCGATTTGACTTTTTGACTTAAATTATAAACTTCAGTATCTTCGCCGCGTCTCTTCCGGTGTGCGCTGCGCCTTGAACTCCGAGTTTTCTTAAGCCTGTTTTGATGACGGTTTCGATGTAGTATTTTGGATTTAGGTCACGGCAAATTTAAGTAATACATTATGAGATCAGGAATATCTAAACAAGTGGTATAGAGTAGACTCATATCCGATAGTGGCATCATTTTTCGAGCATGATGAATGGCGCATAAACTAACCATCGCTTCGCTTCTAATATCCGGCAGAGTTCCAGACACAGTAACACTATCTAACAAATGAAGGTTGCTGATATGAGCTGCTGCCAAAGTTTTCGATTCAAGATCTGTTAAACTATTGATTGCGGTCTTACCAAAAAAAAGTTAAACACGGTTTCAAATCTTGGTTAGGCAAATGTTTTTATGTTTTTTTTTTCTTGAACTTGTGTTTAACGCAAGTCTAACGTACAAGGGCGGATCCAGCTTTGGCGCCAGGGGGGGGTCATATAGTCGTGGTCAAGTTACAGTGGGTACAGATTGTGAAGTGGGTACAGATGGACCCAGCCCCCCCCCCCCCCCCTCTGGATCCACCCTTGCTAACGTATTGTGGTAATTTAAAGCTTCTAGCTTATCTGGCATATTAAAATAACAATTTCTAAGTCATGTTAGTTCTGAAAAAGCTAACAGGGACATTTTTTTCCGCATCATTGCATAACTTATGCCTACTAAAGTTGAAACCTGAACTAAAATTGATGCTGCCACTTATGTTTAATATAAGAAGACAGAGACAACATTAGGTTAAAGATCTTGAATCATTCGCTTTAGATTGCAGTAGTCTCAGACTGCAAAGGAGAACGACCATTTTGTATGTGGGGTTGGTACCACAGAACACAGAAAGAGGTTGGTACAGATACCAAGATCTTTGTACAAGGGGCAAAATATATTTATTTATTTAAGGGTCAGTACACAGCTTGTCTATATATTGGATTTACAATCAATGATATACAATTTGAAAGCCAATTACGACTATCCACGTATTACAGTAAGGTTTAGAAACTAACAGACGAAAATATGAGATGCTGCAATTACTAACACAGTGAAACAAAACAAAAAATAAATAAATACAAATAAAAGAGTTTTATTTGATCTGAGGTTGGTATTTTAATAAAACAGATCATCGGTCCTTTAATAGGTAAATTGTAGGTATTTCTTTAGCAAAAACCTTGAATGTCTGTTCGAAACCATAAATATGTGGTCTAATGGCTATATATCACATGTTTTTACATTTGGTACTAAGCGTTACACAATTTTCTCAATCTGTTTAACATATTGTTGTGGATGACACATTAGATGAGATCACAATACCATAATTATGTTTCCGGCTCAATTATATTCAGTCTGTGATCTCGCTGTTTCCATCAACTTGATTGTTTTGGAGCTCTAACAAAAGACCAGTGTTATTTAGCGCGTCGTATTTATTATTTAATATTGTAACTTGAACTGCAGTTTCTCCTTTTCATTTCCTATAGGCATTATAAGAAAGGATATACTGTTGTCAAATGCACAATTACTAAATATAGTACAGGCAGTCCTCGTACTTACGGCATGTTAGGTTCTCGAAATACGCGATGTGAATCAAAACGACGTAAGTCGAGACATTCCCACAAACCCCATAGACATTGACCTCGGAAAAGTGAATTTTCCTATGCCGGAAATAGAAACAATTGACGTATGCTTGAGGAATAATGTCAAAATATTGTTCGACATAACTTGAAACGATGTAAATCGAAACGACGTAAGCCGAGGACTGCCTAGTAGAGAGCCCAAGCAGGGTTTTTAGATTTACTCGAGCGCGGCAGATTATCATAAGAAGGACAACCTTGCAACTTGTCAAGTACTCCCATCATATCTGAGCCCTCCATGTGGGGCCGTAGCCAAAAAAACCTTTCAACAAACGCCCATGACTGTTGGTCGCGTCCAAATCGTCAGTCTTTTGATTAGGAGCTACTAAAGGGTTCAAGCAAAGAGACACAACTAATTATATATAATCACAATGGTACAGATGACAATGGTGTCGATTCTGGTGTGATTCTCTAAACTTAAAACTAAATTTAACATCAGTCTCTCCTTTTCATTCTGTATAGAGAATGACAAGGATGCACTGTTGTCAAATTTAAGTTTAGCTTTAGAGAATCATGCCAGAATCGACAACACTATCTATTTACTGTGGTTCTTTTGCCCTATTAGTGGTGCAAATGAAACTAAACACATTCATTTGTACCATTAAATGGTGCAAGTCAAAGTCAATGATGCATTCGGTAATCGATACAACGGGGGTTTTAGGTTTAGGGTTTCACAGGTAGGGGAAGGGGTTAGGCAACCGTGCGAGTGATACTTTGGTAACGCAAGCGTCTACAGGCTATGGTGGCCGCTTACCATCGGACAGGTTATATGAGGATCTGGCGAACAAAACGATATAATTACGCATCTGGCCAAACTACTTTTTCTACAGTCCGGAGGTTTCGGGCCCGTAGGTTTTGAATCTCAAGTAATTTTCAATCAAAACCACCTAAAACAGTGTTAATATTACTAAATTTATAAATTAAAAACCATGCCAATATCTCACTGTAGGTACGTCATTCAGTATTATACAGCTCCTGTAAAATTCAATTTTATGTAATTACTGGCTGTCCCAGCGAACTTCGTACCGCCATAAAAAATAGGGGTTGGTGGTAGAAGGGTGAAAATTTAAGGTTGTATGTATTTTTGTATGATGTATCATAAAAAAATAAAAACAAAAAAATTTGTCCATAAAAATATTTAGGGAGATGAAAAATAGAACATGTCCGATTCTCAGACCTACTGATGCATATAAAATCTCACGAAAATCGGTCGAGCCCTTTCGGAGTACTTCAATTGTTTGCCACCTGTTTGGTTAAAAATAAAGTATTGAAAATTATTATGTATTTGTTTGCAGGGTATGAACCTGCGGCTGGCCTTCGCTGTTCTGTCTTCCGCGTGCTGGTCAGCGTTCCAGCATGGTTACAACACAGGAGTCATGAATGCACCACAAGCGGTGAGTACCTATGGTTAACTTGCTTCGAGGGACTGTAGAACTACAGTGCGACCAACTTCTTGGATTTTATACTCGCTATTTCTCTACGTGAAACTTCTCTACGTTTCGAATCAAAAATGTTGAAATCCGTAGAAGAACTCGAGTAACCGACATAGCTAAACGGATCGCCATGCTGAAGTGGTAATGGGCGACGCACATTGTTCGGTGAACCGATGGACTTTGGGGTCCTAAGGTGCTTCATGTCGACCTCGCAACGGGAAGCCCAGTGTTGGTACACTAATTACCAACAGGTCTATTCGCTAACTCGACGCGGCAGAATCCCTAAACGGGGTTCCCGCGGTTTTGCACTTAGCAGCTTAGAGGGTATATGCAGGGTTTTTTAGCGGATATTAGGCCGTAAAACGCCTGTAAGAGCTACGGGGTCCTCAGTGGGCAGCTACTGCGGGGGCCCGTAAAGCTTGCGGAAGCCAGGTATGAGGTCCGTTCGGCGGCGTGCCTCTTAAAGGTGCCGTGGTTTCAAGAAAAAAAGGTCTATTCGCTAACTGCTTTTGACAGATGGAAGTGATGATCACCGGGCTATTTAGTGATGCACTACTGCTTTATTATAAAGCCACTAAGATACTTGTTCTGAAAAGCTTTTGATGATGATTGACTGATTGATATGCAATTTTCTCTTTGTTAATGTCAAAAAAGTTAATGTCAAAAAAGTTAACAAATAGGTGGACTGACGACATCAAGCGAGACGGAGGGACCCACTGGATGCGGAAAGCGCAGGATGTTTGAAAATCCCTAGAGGAGGCCTGTGTCCAGCAGTGGATGTCCATCGGCTGTTTATGATAATTTATGAAGTTATAAATATGCCTTTTATATTTCATATTACTTTTTCCGCGTTATCGTCAATTATAACGTTCCATTTAGTGAGGAGATTTTACGTACTTACAATATTTCACCACATATTCACCAGCAGTGCCCTCCTGTCAATGTTATTACAGTGCTACAAAACGTTGGCCGCACTGTATCTTTAATTAAATTGCTTCAAGGGACTATAGCTGTAGATCTAAGCACTGTGTATGCGGGTTATTATTGGTCGATAATATCGGATGCGTTATTACAATATCCGTTTTTAGTATCTTCATTAAATTAGTATTAGGACTGCTACGAAGATACACACTACTGCGATAATAACGACCACAGATCACAGAAAGAGGTTAGAAGGGAGATTATAGACCGTTCGTACAGGAACCGATGTCGCCGGCTCGCCCCCACTACACTTCCACCTAATAGATAATAGCCAATCAAACGACGCGACATCATACAATCGAACCAATCTGCGCTCACATCCGAAAGCAACGACGCAATCAGAACCAAGTTTTAGTCTAGTTATAACATAACTGTGGCGCGTCTGCCCCGCCCACAAGGACCTTCTAACCTCTTTCTGAATTCTGTGATAACGAAGAAGTATGTACGACGAAATATCGCAATAATGAATCCGATATTATCGACTGAAAATAACGCGTAAACTAAGATATTGACAGACAGACAGTCATACAGAAGGACAGGCGGACGACAAAAAATTATTTAAGGGCCCTATGTTTCGCTTTTGTGGTACGGAACTAAAAAAACGTAAATCGAATTTAAATTTCGTTTCATCGTCGTCAGCGGCATATTAATGTCCCCGCTGTCATTGCCAGGGCACAGGCCTTTCGTAGGCACAATGTAAGATTTTGCCTTGGTTCCGTTTATATTCTATTTTATATTCGCTATGGAATTCCGGTGTTTCAAGAATGCTAAAAAAATGTTCCCAAATAGTGCTCACAGGATTAAAAAAGTGCTCTTATACATAATAGTTGAGATGCATTTTGAGTCCGTTTGAGAAATCTATGTAAGCCTTTTATATGTCAATATAATATAATTTATATGTCATAAAACAGTATCCAAATCCATAGTGATCAAAAATTAAATCCGATGCTATAATTTTAAAGGTTCGCCGGTTAAGATGGGCGTTCCGCAGGGCTCAACCTTAAGCCTTTCTTATTTTTAATTTATATTAATGACTTACCTTACTATATAAGATATGACATAGATAAGAGTAATGAAAAGGGAGAATAGCCCACCATGCAAAGAAAAATCTTTAACGAGTTCTATTCTTTCAGGTTATGTCGGAATGGTTGCAGAAGGAAGCGTTATCAGGGACCAATTCCTCTATACCCCCCGACCAAGATCCGAAGGTTACCAACGTATGGTCCATAACCGTCTCCATATATTGCGTGGGGGGGATGCTAGGCGGTGTCATCACTGGAGTGGTCGCTAACAGGTGGGATATTATTTTTAAGACATTGCATAGCTTTTATCGCGGGCTTTGAGCGCGGCGCCCGAATCAAGACATTCTGTAACGAAAATAAACCTAACGAATTTTTTTCTCCGGACAGCGAAAATTGAGCCTCTCAAGATTCACCAAAGCCTATAAACATAAAACGTATGACGCCAAGGTTTCGTGGATATTATTCACACGAAGCGCAAACATTTTGTTAATATTCTGGATGATAGGTACCTTTCAAACTTAAAAGATATCCAATGTGACGTGATTGAAACAGGGCTGTTAATATGGGACTGTGAAAATGCGACACATGTATAAACTTGTTTGTTTAGTTATAACTATATAGTGGCCCGCCCTCGCTTCGCTTCGGTGTAGAGCTGTAGTGTAGCTGTAGACTATAGTTTTTGTTCTCAGTCTTGTGTTATACACAATGAATTTCTTTATATAATTACTAGCGGCCGCCCGCGACTTGCGAACGCGTGGAGTAAGTTATAAATAAAGGTTCACTGCTCGTTCCCCGTAGGTGATAGCACGCTATCACCTACGGGGAACGAGCAATAATATGTAGCCTATATGTTGACCCGACTTCTTAATAATATAAGTGCCAAAGGAGATTGCTCAAATTGGCCCAAATGCACAAAAAATATTGACATACACGGTAACATGGACTTATAAAAAAGGCGGACAGAGTCCCGGTAAACAATAAACTGTGTCCCTCAGAGTCGGCCAGGTCGCTGTACGCACAAGCCGGCACGCACACATTCACACAATAGTCAGCCACTACGCGTGCAAACGTCAAAGCAGCCGACACGTTACGTGGAGATAAAAAATAAGCTAAACAAGATATCTTGCTTGTAAAAAGGTGTAAAAACCGTAGTGACCGAAAGAAAAAAAATCCAGGAATCACGTTTCATAGGTAAATGAATAATTGAATCACTTTTTTCTAGTTTTTAGAAATCGAAATCAATTTTAATTCTAAGGACAAAAGGATTAGTCTAAAGCCCAGTGTTGCCTATGTTCATGTAACCATATTACCTAAAATATGGGAAATTGGGTTGACATTAACTTCAATCTATTATTTATTATTCTTTTTTATCACATTTCCTAAAGAAAATGTAGTATGGAAAAATTACTGGAAAATGAATGATTTCCAAACAAATATGTAGTAGTGTCAATTTTAGTCTTCATTCTGAAGCTCATGACTTATATACAACTAAAGGAGGACTCCGGCGTGTTATTACGTATGCATTACCTCAAAAGGTTGATTAAAATTTTTAACCGACTTCGAAAAGAAAGAGGTTCGCAATGCGTCATATTTGTTTTTTTTTTATTTTAGTTCGCACAGATCTCCGAGATTCGTGGACCGTTTATGATGATTCTTTTTTGTTTTAATCAGTTTACTAGCGAGATGGCTGCATATTAATTTACTGGAGATCTGATGAGTACTTTCGGAGGAAAACAATGGAACTCCTCAATTACAAACAGTACTCAATGGGTGTTAGTTTATTTTAAGAAATATGAAAGAGAATGCAGGCCAGGCCATCTTTATTTATTTGATTTACCCAATATTGAGAAAATTCGAAACATTCTAGAATTTCTAATGAGTCCCGACTGTTAAAGTAACTTTGTTCCTTATTAAACAAAATTCTAGACTACTGGTCTTGTTTTTTTCTTTTTAGTACATTTTTTTTTATTTTCGACATTTTAATTTCATTATTTTTTAATTACACGAGTTGTATATTTTCTAAATATTCTTTTAAAACCCTTCACTTTGATACCTCGCTTGACGGGTTATAAAAATACTTATACTTTTTTTTCAAAATGTTTCATTTTGGCGCATAAAATCTGTTATTTTGTTTTTTTTTAATTTTAATATACGAGTGCCACTCACACAATCACGACAAATCAAATGACACCTCGCGTTCAGGCTGTAGGGCGTGCTAAATTATTGGACATACATACATGCATACATGCGCTCGAAAAACATTATCCTCCGCAGTCGTGCAATAAGTAAAATTTTGAACAATCAAAATATTTTCATGTTTTTGCTGTGTTTTATTGGTAAAAAATTGGCTAACCTCGCAACCCTACAATTCACTCACTCATCAATAGCCGCCGACATTACGGTGCCTCAGTATTGTCTTAGCCGAAACTCTGTCCGCCTTTTTTTATACGTCCATGCACGGTAATTCTTGGCGTAATTTATAATTTAATTTACAGTCATTACATTTCAACGGACACCTTTGTATAATATATTCACTTTAAAAAGGACTTTTCATTTTACCGGTTTGGAAAACATACGAATCATTTTTAATGGCTATGGGTGTAGTAACATTCAGCCAAAGACTGATCGAAGTTGTTTATATAACATAAAAACAAATCTATTTTGTAAAGATCGATAAAATATATCATTTTTTTATTACACTGTGGTATGAATATCCACAACTATATTATCATTTTCACTACATGCAAATGTGCTCAGACAATTATTAAAGATGGTTATGCCATACATTTTTCGCCAAACACCTCCATAAACACATTATAATCTGTTTAGACTTTAAGGTATCTATCTATGGGCCTACGTTGCCTGACTATTAATAAATAAAATTATAAGATGTGATACACTAAAAATCTAAAATATGGTTATATTAAAAACATAACAAAAATAATGAAGCTACTGAATATATGGCTATATAACCTAAATCTCTTAGCTTTCCGTGGTTAACGAGAGTTTAAAAATTCTCTCTAATCTGTGGCTCATTGACAATCATCACACAGTTTCTGTCACAGAGTACCTTATTATAACCGGAAATGCATAGGTGACACCTGATTTTAAAAGTTACTGTTTAAAAACAGGCAACTATCTGTTAATCTACATGCTCTATATACCTGAATCTAATCCATAATTTCGATACTTGGCTTGATTTCCCTAGTTTACTATTTAACTTATTTGTTTTTTATTATTTTAATATGTTCAGTGTATTTGGTTTATAGAAGTTCTCAGGGGTGTCCGTAAATAATATTCGTTTCTACAGTAATTTACATATAATTTCGAATTAGGAAACAATTTTTCGTGATTATTGGTCTTTAGGCCAAACATGTATGGAAGCTGAGCAATCTCCTTTGGGAATGGGGCCCTCGTGATGTCACTTCTTAGTAAAAGTTGTACCAAGACGCGACGTCATGTGAAGTTTCAAATCAATATAATTAAGTTATGTCTTTTTTAAGTGAATAAAGAAAAAATAGGTACGCGAAGAAAAAAAATGTTAGTCTTCGTCTCAACTCCGAACTACGAGGTCTTGAGATACTGTTTTCATTTATTTCGCTCTCAGATTTGGGAGCGATCTATTAATACGGGCCACCAACTTGCTTAGCAGCTTAAACATAAATATTAATGTATTTTATAAAATTTTGGTCTTTTCCAGATTTGGCAGGAAGCGTGGACTACTCCTGAATAACATTCTGGTGTTTTTGGGCGCTCTCTTGGAGAGCACAGCCAGAGTAGCCAAATCAGCTGAGATGCTGATTTTGGGAAGGTGAGTAATTTATTTAATTATTTTTTATTTAAATAATTTGTTATTTTTAGTAGTTCATATAATTTATTGTTATTTTTAGTAGTACAGGACAGGCTACTTTTAAGAGTGGTTGGGTAAGGCCGTTTGGCGATGTGAAGTAACTTTAATTCACAACACAGAATACCACAGTGAAATAAAAATGCGTTTTTGGTTTTTGCTGGTGGATAATTAAGTAGAATAGTAACCTATAGGTCATAGGTAGACCGCTTAACTGAGTCCTTGCCTGCGGGGTAAAGGATTTGGGGGAGGACGAGAACGAGGGCCGTGAGAGGTCAAAATCACGAAGGTCATTTTGAATAAACTTTATTTGTTTCTTAGGTTTTCACGCACATCACTCATTAAATAAAACTAGTTTTTACGGGTTAATGCACGAAAACTTTATTTATTTATTGACGTTTCGTAGCCTTTACAGGCTACGTCGTCAGAATAAACTTTATTGTCATAAGAATGTATGTTTTGTTAAGTTCATTTTGGTATATAAAAGGTTACATAATGAATAAACTTGTTTCAATTATTTTATATTAAACATGTGACAGAATTTATGACCTGACTAGGTATTTCAGGTCAATGTTTTTTGTTGCAGATTTTTTATCGGTGTCAACAATGGATTGAACGCTGGCCTAGCCCCGATGTATCTGGCTGAAATATCACCTGTGTCGCTCAGAGGATCAGTAAGTGTCGCCGCACACGGGCCACCGACCACAACCACAAAAAGCTGCCACCGGCATATTTCTTGTAGTTTTCGTACGTTTTACATGGACTCGTCACACACGGTACGCCGGTGGCCGCCACACGCTACAAATCGTGGTTGCTCGCTTCTTGGGGCCTGTACCGGCCACTTAATGCGCCGATACAAAACGCCGCCACCCACTACTAGCGCGGTTCCCGACCCCTCTCTCCCTTACCTTGAATTGATAAGCCAGCATCTGGCAACCCTTGTGGTAGTTGCTCAAGAAGTTTGCCGGGGTGTATACTACGCGCAGCTTGCACCTAGCCGGTTCTCTTGACCGCTCCCATCACTCTGCGCCGCTTTTGTATTGTTTCATTTTTGCCATTAATATTTTAAGACGGGTCTCCAGCAAAAGTTTTTTGAAAAAAATCAAGGCAAACACATACACATTTTTTTTCTGAAACATATTTCTCTACACACGTCCTCTATTGCTCACGTGGCTGTCGTACTCAAAATACACAGGGCCACGCTCAAAAGCTACGACCCAGATGCAACAAATGTCAAATTTGATGAAAGTTTCGTACTTTTTATGTCAATATTGAAAGTCGTCAGAGTGAAAAGTTGTACTCGGGGCGTAAGTTTAGAACGGAGCTCTCGCTGGCGAGTTGTCAAGAAATGCCCGATGAAACAATACCCAGCCCCTCTACCCGAATTGTGTACGTGTTTTCCATCAGACTCGGAAAGCAAAAACACTGCTGATACAAACGTAGTAAAATAAAGAAAAAACGACGGGTTGCACTCTGGGAGTGCCGGCAGAAGTGAAAACTTGAATATTAACGTTGTGCATTTTTTGATATTTTGGAATGGTTAGGAAATAATTTTGCACGAATTGCATCAGTATTAAAGTACTATCATGTATGTGGTAGAATACAATATTTATTTATTGCGCTATCGTACACAAACATGACAATTTATATTACATTAAAAAAGTTTATCTGTCAGAAAAATCAACTTACATGAACCTTATTTAAGCGCACCTAGTGACATCTATTGTAAAAAAAAATGCATTTTCTTCGCAATAAAGCTGCCACGTGGACGTCCTAGACAGAGAGACTTATTATTATAATACGGTAAAATAAAATAGTACTATGTTTCGTCCAATATATTGAAAGACAACAACCTTTTCAATTTTATTGTGTCATAATGCGATCAGCCCACGTGTTAAACCTGACGTGAGTTTAACATTTTTTACCCACAAAAAAAGAGTGTACAACGCTGCTAAAGAAGTTTTCACTTCAATAAATCTGAATGACCTTATCAACAAGAATTGGTAGCTCAGTGGCAAAAAGTACGTCTCAGCCTGGGTTCGATTCTCAACCCCTTCCTCGGTTGATAGAGACAGATAAAGAACCGCTTAGATTAGTTCTGTCGTGCGTCCCGAGACGCACACGCTTTTCTTTTGTAGTGAAATTCTCTTTTAATATCTATAAATGAATCAGCTCCTATTAAGGTATAACAAAACCCAAAACTTCTCCCACCACAGATCGGTACAGTCTACCAACTCGTGATCACCATCACCATACTTCTGTCGCAAGTGCTCGGCCTATCATCCGTGCTGGGTACTGAAGACGGCTGGCCGTGGCTGTTGGCTTTGACCATCGTACCGGCTATACTGCAATGTGTGACTTTGCCGCTGTGTCCGGAGTCACCGAAATACTTGTTGTTGAATAAAGCGCAAGAACTCCATGCTCAGAGAGGTGAGGTGACATTTTTTTAAAGTGTAACTTCTATACACCCTGGTCTGTGTAAATGGCAGATTTCTGCTAACGTCAAAAAACCCCTGTCTGTGTAAATGGCAGATTTCTGCCACGAGTTGAGAAAAATAATTTCATATTTTGCGTTTTATCATATTTACTTAGTAAGGGTTCTTAATTACCACATCTATACACATATAAATAAAATTGGAGTGTCTGTTTGTAATATTGAAATAACCGTTTTTTACTACATGCATATGTATACGGTACATACACCAAAATAAGATTTTTTACAGATTTTGTCTGTCTGTTTGTTCCGGCTAATCTCTGAAATGGCTGGACCGATTTTGACGGGACTTTTATTGGCAGGTAGCTGATGTAATAAGGAGTAACTAAGGCTACTTTTATTTTAGAAAAAAACTTTTATTTTAGAAAAATATCCATCCGCACATTTTATACCTACACTAGCTGCCTGAGTCGTAGTTTATTTTAGTTTTTTGAGAATTCCTCGGGAACCTCAAATGTTTTCGGGATAACAATCTAGTATCCTATGTCTCAATTCAGGTAATTGACTTTATGTGTTCCAAATTTCATCAAAATCCATTCATCCGTTTTTGTGTGATTAAGTAACAATTATAGAAACTTTTTTATCTATAATCACACTAATATTATAAAGGCGAAAGTTTGTGAGTGTGTTTATGTTTGTAACATCTTCACGTCTGAACGGCTAGAGCGATTTGACACCTTTGATTAGCTGCCACCCTGGATTAACACATAGGCTACGTTTTTTTGCGGGAAAATATCCCTAATAAACCGCGGGTAACACCGAGGGGCTCAGCTAGTATTAATCTTAGATGAAAACAAAAAGGGTAGATACGGTACGCTCATACTAGCATCAAATAAAATAATTATGATCCGACTCAACTACATAAGCAACTTTCGCCACGCATACGTCTGTAAATAAACATCAATCGAGCGAGCGAGACAGAACTATACGCTTCAACGCAGCGTATTGTTGTCCTTATCTTGCTGACAAAATGGCGATTACGTAAATAATATTTACTACAAACCGTAATTTTTGAGACAAAAATGTTTTCACAATTTTACGAATGAAAAGTGTTGCGGGGGGCATTTGATTTTGAACTATTTGTGTTCTTTATTAAAGCATCGAAAGCATTATATTTATAACACATGATATAAGCAATATTGTTATATTGAGTGTACATGTAGCGTGTTTGAATGTCAAATTGTGACTAAAGCGAATTATGGTTGTGGACCACAATTTAAGCGGATCACTTTTGAGCCGCGAATGTAGTATCTTCCCTTTTTGTTTTAATCTAAGGTATTAATATAATTACGGTAGGGCGCATTTTTTTCATCTCCTAGTATTGACCATATGACTAACATTTTTTCATCCCACCACCTCGGAAAGTGTAATTTTGCGCTTCGAAATCTGGCTGGAAAATTCTATTTTATTCGCTTGAGCGGCAAAGTAGATTTGAATTTAGAACATCACATATAATGAGTACTCAATATAATTGTAAATTCAAAACGTCATTAAACCTATTTAATGTAACCTCTATGGTGCCAAATTTATGATTAGAACTTTTTAAATTGTGAAAAAATTTAAATTTGGAACCTTCTTGGTTTCTTTGTTTTATTTGCGTGCTTCGCGCCATTCTAGTTTTTCACGTTTTATTGCTTAATATAATTAACATAACCTAAAAACTGTACAAAAAAATCAACTAAAATGAGTGACATTAGCGACGATGAAGTTTATCTAACGCCAACTGAGTTAACTGAAACAGTTAATAATGCGCAAATGAGCCTTCTCCCTCAGCAATCACGAGAGAAGTATTTGAAACAGTACGATATATTTAACATGTGGCGACTAGCTAAAGGAGCAAAAACTTTCTCCGAAAACGTTTTGCTGGCATATTTTATAGAATTATCTGAGACCAAGAAAGCAAGCACGCTATGGAGTACGTATTCAATGCTAAAATTAACAATTAAGATGAAGAAAGACGTTCATATCGACACCTATCATAAATTAGTGGCATTTTTAAAAAGAGCCTCATCTGGTTATAAACCAAAAAAATCGAAGGTTTTCACAGCATCTGAAATTGCAAAGTTTATTAATGAAGCACCTGATTCCGTATATTTAGCGGCAAAAGTAAGTCAATACGTGTAATTTTTTGTTGTTGATAAAATTGTACATAGTACTTACAATATTTTTAATTTGATTAATTTATTTACGATTATAAATACTTCTTTTGTTACAGGTTGTTCTTATTATTGGTATAACCGGAGCATGTCGAACAAATGAACTTACACTACTTAATGTCAATAACGTATCAAAATATTCTCATAATTCTGATGAATTGCTATTAATTAATGTACTAAATACCAAGACAAAAAAAGACCGCAACTTCGTTATTCGCAAGGAATATGTAAACATTGTTCAGAAATATCAAGCTTTACGTCCTTCTAACACCCCAATTGAACGATTTTTTCTACAATATCGCAACGGAAAGTGTATCCGACAACCTATGGGTCAGAATAAAATTGGCAGTATTCCACGAGAAATAGCAACTTTTCTCGGACTTTTAGAACCCCCGTTATACACCGGTCACTGTTTTAGAAGAACCTCAGCCACACTTTTGGCCGAATCAGGGGCTGATCTTCTATCGCTTAAGCGCCATGGAGGCTGGAAGTCTAATTCGGTTGTAGAGGGATACATAGAGGATTCAATCCAAAGTAAATCAAAAATTTGTAATAGTATCGTGGAGGCCATAACGCTGAAAGAACCTCTGTCAGATTCTTGGTCTCGCCCTTCTACATCTAAAATGAGCCCCCATAAGATTGGAAACAATAGCCCTCTCTCGCCAACATTTACGCCAATAGAATCCAATGAATCGGCACAACTATTTAAAATTACTGATACGAGTAGTTTACCACAAAACAGCGCACAATTCACAAACACCAACATAACATTACCTAACAAAAATATTAAACTTAACATAAGTAACTGTAGCAACGTTACATTTAATATTTCTTAATTATTTTCTACTTCTTATTATTTTCTTCAATTTATAGATTATCTTAATGTGTTTTAATTGAAATAAAAATATTTTGTCATTATAAATTGTTTTCTTTTTCATTTTGTCATTTCCTCGCTGAGGTGGGATGAAAAGTTACGTATTGCACTCGAGTGGAAAGATTTTTCACCTTGTGCTCGTTTGTTTCCCTCGCTGACGCTCAGGATTCTAATTTAGAATCACTCGCTGCGCTCGTGATTCAACTTTAGAATCCTTCGCTTGCTCGGTCATCCAAATCGAGCACGCGGTTAAAAAGGAACTTTCCACTCTTGTATAATAAATAACTATTGTGGTAATAAGACCATCTTCCTAGCATTAGCACCGCGATATGATAATATAGCTCGATTTTATCACGCTGAATTGTCAAATTAGTATAGAGTTTGACAGTAAGATGCGATAAAAACGTGATATAATGTAAATTGTCGTGTTCATGCTACCGGGACATGAATTTTTATTGTTCTGTATTGGTTTATGTTTATGCCCTGAAAAATACACCAGTACCTCTAGCACGAACCAACATCGAATTCGTATCGTTTGTGAGTCTGAAATGTCAATGTCAAATTTTGTATGGAAACTTGAACAGCAGCGCCACTTTGGACGTAACGGGAACTAAAAATCGGTACACATTTGATATGACATTTCGGGCTCGCAAACGTTACGAATTCGATTTTGGTTCGTGCTAGGGGTTCAGGCTGTCTTTTACGCACACGCCAACACGAAAGATTTTCCACAGTAATTAGATAGATTCCCTTAATCTTTTTTTCCTATTATTTTAGCCCTGAATTGGCTCCGTGGCGACGTGGCTGTCCACGGCGAGATGGAAGAAATGCATCAGGTATATATCATCATTATCAACCTATTAGTGTCTACTGCTGGGGCATTGGCTTTCCTATGGTTAAAATAAAGAGATCAGGGCATCGTTAGCAGGTGCTAACGACTGCAGGCGTAGCCGAGACCAACGGCTTAACGTGCCTTCCGAACGAACGCACATAAGAGTTTTTTTTACACTTATTTATTTATTAAATTATAAGTGCTGGCGTGTTATTTTATGTTGTGTTGTAGAGAATTCGATAGTAGAGTGCAGCCAGGGACATAAAAGAGGTTGTGAGGAACACAGAAGGCCTACTCTAATTCACGAAAAACGAAATTTCGAATGAAACTTCGCACTTTTCTTACCATGTTTCTGGTTCGTTTTTAATTATAATATTATTCGTCGTCGGAATATAGATTGAGGTGTAGATTTTCCGTTCTCGTCCTCTTTCACACCCTGCACTCCGCAGGCGAGGTCTCAGTTAAGCGTTTTAGCTATACCCCCTTATTAATAAACAAGGAATAAGCTAAGACTAGTTATGCCATGTTTTGTTCATGTCACTCAAATGCCATTTGTCATTTTTACTAGACAGACAAAACATGGAGTTAGTATTTCAAGCGTAGTCTTCGTTTATTAAAATTTTGTGTGTCTTTATAGAGTAGCGCGTCAAAATATCGTCAGTCTAGGTCAAGCTATCGTCTATAGGTAGAACGCTTAACTGAGTCCTCGCGTGAGGTAATGGGTATGGAGGAGAACGAAAACGGGGACCGTCAGAGGAGCGGGCGGGGCGGCAGGCACATTATTGTCAAAATTACAAGTGCCGGCCGCACGCACCTCTCACGGCCTCCGTTCTCGTCCTCTTTCACACCCTGCACTCCGCAGGCGAGGTCTCAGTTAAGCGTTTTAGCTATACCCCCTTATTAATAAACAAGGAATAAGCTAAGACTAGTTATGCCATGTTTTGTTCATGTCACTCAAATGCCATTTGTCATTTACTAGACAGACAAAACATGGAGTTACTAATCCAAGCGTAGTCTTCGTTTATTAATAAGTGAGATAGTGTCTATAGACACGCAGCCCGCAAATGCATTACGATTATGACAGAACTACATCTCGAACGTTAATTTTAGCTCATATAGCACTAAAGACACCCGAAGCTTCGTCGCCCAGCACCCGTAGCATGAACACTACAATTTACACCATATCACGTTTAGTATCGCGTGTAACTGTCAAACTCCATAGTAATTTGACACTTGTGCGTAATAAAAACGCGTTACATATCATATCGCGGTGCTCATGCTAGGGGGGCAGGTGTGATAGAGGCATCAGATTTTTTTATTTACTAACTTGTTTATATTAGGAAGCGGAAAAGAACAAAGTTAGCAAGAAAGTAACTCTCCGCGAACTATTCGGCAACCGCCGGCTCAGACAGCCCCTGCTCATAGCCATGATGGTCATGGTGGCCCAGCAGTTTTCCGGGATCAACGCGGTCATATCCTTCTCAACGGATATTTTCAAGAAAGCAAATTTGAGCGAGGCCCAGTCCCAGTACGCGACGTTGGGTGAGAACAATTTATATATTATTTCCATTGAGTACAATATACATTTCTCTTGTCTGTGTCAATATCAGCCAATTAATGTCTCCACTGCATCATGTTCTTCTCAATGGATATATTCAAGAAAGCTAATTTGAGCGAGTCGCAGTCTCGGTACACTACGTTGGGTGAGTACAGTCAGTAGTACTAAAGATTAGTCTTTGTAAAAGCAATACCTCATATGTCGCACTTTTTTGAGATTACGCCATTTTCATCATTGTGACAATTTTCACTATTATAGTTATAGTTAGACCGCTTAACTGAGTCCTCGCCTGCGGGGTAAAGGGTGTGGAGGAGGACGAGAATGGGGACCGTGAGAGGTGCTGGCGGCAGGCACATTCAATTCAAAATTCAAAAATTCATGTCAAAACTGCTATTACGGACTCAACGCACAAGATGTGCTTACATTTAATTTTGTCCATCGAAAATTTAGGAAAGCGCACGCTATGGAAGTTAATATTCTCAGATCACATTTGTTGTCATTAATATGAAATTAAAAAAAAATAGATAACTGGGTCCATCCCTTTAAATCAGATTGAGCGCGCAACGCGGACTACGACGATCGCTTATTCACTGTGTGCGATGCTGCGCCTTCTCCGATGGATACCGCGGTATCACAAATTAGAGAGTTCAGTACCCCTAGCACGAACCATTATCGAATTCGAATAGTTTGCAAACCGAAATGTGAATGTCAAATTTTGTATGGAAACTTGAACAGCAGCGGCACAAAGTACGTAACGAGAACTTAAAATCAGTACACATTGGACAATGACATTTCGGACTCGCAAACGATACGAATTCGATATTGGTTCGTGCTAAGGGTACAGGTCGCGGCACGTAACTCTAGCGACGAACAAAACGCGGAAGGATGGGTACGAATGGAGAGCCAATCGGCGCAATGCACGCACACCCGCGCACCTCGTTTCCCCCCAAGACATCTTAATTTTTACTTCTGCGCAATAACGGTCAGCGCTAGTTTCGTGCCGCGACTTTTAGCTATACTTTTGTCCAGTCGGGTCGTGGTTGTTCGTGGGACTTTTTATACGCGGTACTTTTAATCCCTTGTTTACGTTACTCGATGCAATTGTAAGCGATCTATTTTTCCTGACAAAAAAGTCCGCGGACAAGTCTTCGTCTGCGCAGGCTTAAAACGGTTAACTTTTTTTTTATAGCCTGGTAGGCAAATGACTCTACCCTACCTGATGTTAAGTGGTGATAAAGTCCAGACGCGAAGATAGCTGGTACAGCAGTTATAAACTGCCACACCAACCATCCTCGCCTTGCCGGCCTGCAGAAATGCTTCTTCGCGCCTTTCTTAAAGGACCCTGGATTGTAGGAACGGAGGAAAACTTAATATTTATTGAATTCTTTGTGCACAGGTACTGGTGTAATGAATGTAGTGATGACTGTGGTCAGTCTAGTGCTGGTTGAAGCCGCCGGGCGTCGAACCTTACTACTGGCAGGGTTTAGTGGCATGTTTGTAGTCACTGTACTGCTGTGCATCGCCCTCCTATACGTAAGTTTCACAAAATCAGCCTATTAATATGCTGGGGCACAGGCCTCCCCAAAGAACATTGAAAGAAGGTTGTTCATAGACCATTTGTACGGGAACCAATGTCGTCGGCTCGCCATTACATTTACTACACGTACATACATTTGATCTACCCGTACCCGCACCCGCGCCCGCACTCGCCTTTACTCTGAAAGAACACTAGGGCACGGTAATATTATCTATATAGTATTGTGACTTGGCCCTGTCCTTGAAATAACTGCCGAGCGGGGCGTAGACACGAGAAAAAAAAATCAGCTATTTTTGGACTGGAGTAAAAATGCTCGTATTCATCACATAAACATCTGCCCCCACCGGGATTCGCACCCAGGAACCTTGAAACCCGGCGTACAAACAACTGTAAATATTGGTGTCAATTCTGTCATGATTCTCTGAAGTTAAAACTAAATTTAACATCAGTCCCTCCTTTTCAGGACAAGGATACACTGTTTTCAAATTTAAGTTTAGGTTTAGAGAATCATGCCAGAATCGACACCGTTTTTCAACTTTTTGATAAGTATTTTTTTCTTTCTTTTTCAGACGCACGTAGTTTGGGTGTCGTACGTGTGTATAGCACTCGTAATTTTGTTCGTAGTAATGTTTGCGACGGGCCCCGGTTCGATTCCCTGGTTCCTTGTGACTGGTGAGTAACGGATCATTCGATCCAACAACCAACAACCAATAAAATATCCAACTCCTTTTTATATGATTTACGCACGCTATGGATCTGGATAAGTGATTCAACGATACCGATACGATAATTGTTTATCGGCGATTATCGTAAGTTTTAACGATACCATAAACATATAGGATTCATTATTTTCCAATATTTTTGCAATTTTACAATAGTTACTCAAAACTGTATCAAGTGAAACGAAACGCATAACACGTCAACGTCTAAAACATCCATGCCTTTTGTTTCTGGCGAAATCCACAAAAGTGCACCGCCATTTTCTATTATGAAGAAGAAGATACCTTTTATTTGACGTTGACAGCTATAACGCAGAAAATTGTACAAAAAATTAAACAAATGAAAAAGATAAATTATAATTAAATTAAGTATATAAATAAATAAAACTGCGAATATTTTTTACAAAGCCTCAATATTGATTTGTTAACAGACAAAGTGATACAAGCAAAGCTTCAAATAAATTCAATACAATACTTACTAGGTATATAACAAAAATCGTAATGCAATCGTATCGTATTGGGCCCTTAAGGCATATACTCTAAGTATTGGGCCATTACGATGTATTCGTGATTCGTATTGGTATCGTAATAGCCGTATCGTTGCATCCCTAATTTTAACCTTGACCTATATTTTAAACTTTACGTGAAGAGATAATACTTTATAAAACTTAAAAACTAAACTCTGTTCTATACTGAATTAAAACTAATTGATGAGGTTTCAATAATTCAAAATATATAAATCAAAAGCGACCGAAGAAGTGAACTCCTTCCAAAGGAGATTGCTCAAATTGGCCTAAATGCACAAAAAATATTGTCATACACGGTAATTCTTGGCGTAATTTATAATTTAATTTACAGTCATTAGATTTCAACGGACACCTTTGTATAATATATTTACTTTAAAAAGGACTTTTAATTTTACCGGTTTGGAAAACATACGAATCATTTTTAATGGCTATGGGTGTAGTAACATTCAGCCAAAGACTGATCGAAGTTGTTTATATAACAATAAAAACAAATCTATTATGTAAAGATCGATAAAATAAATCTTTTTTTTTTAATTACACTGTATTAATATCCACTACTATATTATCATTTTCACTAGATGCAAATGTGCTCAGACAATTATTATAGATGGTAGGCGACATCATAAAGACTAATGCCATACATTTTTCGCAAAACACCTCCATAAAAACATTAAAATCTGTATATATGTTAGACTTTTTAAGGTATGTATCTATGGGCCTACGTTCCCTGACTATAAATTAATAAATAAATAAAATTATAAGGTGTGATACACTAAAAATCTAAAATATGGTTATCTTAAAAACATAGCAAAAATAATGAAGCTACTGAATATATGGCTATAGAACCTAAATCTCTTCGCTTTATTTTATTTTTGTTTAAAAATTGTCTCTATCTGTGGCTCATTCACAATCATCACACAGTTTCTGTCACAGAGTACCTACCTTATTAAAGCCAGAAATGACACCTGATTTTAAAAGTTACTTTTATGCATTAACTTTAAAAACAGGCAACTATCTGTTAATCTACATGCTCTATATATCTGAATCTAATCCATAATTTCGGTAATTGGCTTGATTTCCCTAGTTTACTATATAACTTATTTGTTTTTTATTATTTTAATATGTCCAGTGTATATGGTTTATAAAAGTTCTCAGGGGTGTCCGTCAATAATATTCGTTTCTACAGTAATTTATATAGAATTTTGAATCTAGGAAACAATTTTTCATGATTATTGGTCTTTAGGCCAAACATGTATGGAAGCTGACCAATCTCCTTTCAGCCACATCTTCCTTAGGAATAAGGAACTGCAGTAAAGTCTAAAATGGAGTGTCGACTGATAAAACAACTCGGCCGAGTTTATGATATTTTGATTTTATTATTTTAAGCAGTTAGATGTGTAATTAGAAAAATATCAAGAATTTCTTGGTAGTGGACGCAAAATCGAATTCAACTATTCCATTTCGATATTGGTTCGTGGGTAGTGCGTTCGTACCATTAGCATGAACTATTGTCGAATTCGAATAGTTGAATTCGATCTAGATATACGTCAAATGTGTACTAATTTTAAATTCTCGTTACGTCCGTTGTGGCGCTGCTGTGCAAGTTTCCATATCAAATTTGACATTGACATTTCGGACGAATTCTTGGTTCGTGCTAAGGGCACTCTGGTGCCAAGCTGGATTCGAATCAGCGAATAGCTCAATAGATCCAATCACTTGCGCTATCGAGCTCCTCAATGATCTCTCATAAACAATCTACATGTACATATATATGTATATCTACATACATTTACATTTTTGTCGGGCAGAACGTTTGTCGAGTCGCCTGGTTGGTAATACTCAAGGGCGGATCCAGAGGGGGGGTCACGGGGGTCATGACCCCCCCCCCCTGGGCTGGGTCCATCTGTACCCACTTTACAATCTGTACTACACAATCTGTACCCACTGTGACTTGACCACGACTATATGACCCCGCCCTGGCGCCAAAGCTGGATCCGATTGGTAATACTCCCACCAGTTCCATACACTGGCTAGCGAGTAGCTGTAGTTCCATGTGGAAATAGCTACATAAATGGAACTACTGGGAATGAAGGTTAAATATATCGCACCTTTATTCCAATACTGGTGTCGATTCTAGCATGATTCTCTAAACCTAAACTTAAATTTGACAGCAGTATATCCTTGTCATTCTCTATACAGAATGAAAAGGAGAGACTGCGGTCAAATTTAGTTTTAAGTTTAGAGAATCACGCCAGAATTGGCACCACTGTCAATAAACAAAATTCTTCAAAAAATTGTTTTCAACGCCATCTATTTGCTACGTTATGAATCTACACATTTGCTCTGCTGCATAATTTGCTTTTTTATGATAATGACAGTATTGGAATAAAGGTGCGATATTTAAATTTATATATTTGTCATTACGCTATAAAATTGATTGTGATTCGTTGTTTTTCAGAGCTTTTCAACCAGTCTGCGAGGCCGGCGGCGACGGCGGTAGCGGTAACCGTTAACTGGACGGCAAACTTTATCGTCATTTGGAGTTTCTTGCCACTCAGGGTGAGTATAAGTTTGTGTCAATATCATCATCAATTTTCATGGTCACTAACATTATAGTAATATAAGTTATTTACGGGATTGTTACCATGTACCTTGTTTTTAGCGAGTTTCCAATATTTCGGCACTGTTGCAAGCGCCATGATCACGGAGTAACTGAAGTAATTGCTGGTAGGCTGTTATTGGCAGACATATCGGTCTACCCTCCGACGAAGTCTTTTATTGCGTTCGATACCCGTACCACTCTTCACATTCTCACTATTCACTCGAAACTGTTCTCGACACACAACACTTACAGTATCGGATCGCGACACGACACTTTTTTGATTATTTCCGGTTTTACACATACGAACCACAGGATTCCAGACATTCGCCAATTTAAACCCGTCCTCACGATTGAAATTATGTTTTGTTATTTCAATCGCTTCCCTGACCAATCTTGGTACGTAGTGGCGTTCTGTCGAGATAATCTGTGGGTTATGAAACTCAATCCAGTGGTTAGGACCAGAATCAATCAAATGTTCCGAGATGGCTGATTTCTGCGTATCGTTGTTCTCGAAATATCGGAAACTCGCTAAAAACAAGGTACATGGTAACAATCCTGTAAATAACTTATATTACTATAATCATCATCATCAGCCTATGAATGTCTCCACTGCTGGTGTACAGTACCCTTAGTACGATTTTTTTATAGTTTTCGTGAGCTCGCACTCGTACTAGGGGTACTGATTTTATTGTTTTCGTTTCAATACAAATAAACAGTGTTTAAATTCCATCATGAAATCATTTGCGTCTTCTTAAATTTAAAGTATATTTAATTAGTTTTCACCAAAATGGACATAGAGACATAATTTACAATTACGAAAACTATGATAGGTTTCGTGAGCTCTAACTCATTCTAAGGGTACAGGCCTTCCTTATGGGTGGAATAGGGAGACTAGGCCTTGACACGCGGGCCCAGTACGGATTGGCGGGTTCAAACGACTGCAGATGTAGCCGGGATCAACGGCTTAACGTGACTTCCGAAGCACGGAGGTGCTCGAGATAGTAAATTTTCGGTCACACATCCAAAGACTTCAATGATCGCAGTCGCAGCCGAACGCACTAACCACTTGTGCCATCGAGCTCCTAAACAAGATTGTATTGAAATAAAATTTAATCTTTACAAGGGATACATTGGGCTTTTAGGAATATTTACGTTTATGTAAATTTTAATTTATTTCACCCCCATAAAACACAATTTCTGGGATAAAAACTATCTTATGTGCTTTTCCAGGATAAAAAACTATCCCTATACCAAATTTCATCTAACTCGGTTCCGCGGTTTAAGTGTAAAGAAGGTACTAACAGATATATTTTCTCATTTATTAGTACGTATGAATGGATTAGTACAAATCGCGGCACATAACTCTAGCGCTGAACAAAACGCGTCAGGGATAGCTGCGCATGGGTACGACTGCAGAACCAATCGGCGCAACGCACGCCCACCCGCGCACCTGTTTCCCCCCAAGACATCTTGACTTTTACTTCTGCGCAATAACGGTCAGCGCTAGAGTTTCGTGCCGCGACTTATATGTTCTAGGATTATGTTTTGCAGTTTATTATATTTATTTATTTAATTCTAGACCAGAATCCACAGCATTTTCTTAATATAATACAGGTTTTACAATATAGTATCTTAATACCAATTACCGAATTTCATTTTTCAGTTATAGTACAGTTTGTCTATAAAGTCGTGACATTAATGTTTGTGGAACTAACATTATTCATGTGTCTGGCAACACCAAACTTATGTACATCAGCTGTCATCGAGTTTCAGTTGTGGAACAGTTTACCTTTTGTATTTTTTATTGTTTGGATTAAACTGTAATAAATTAAGACGAAACTACGCAGAGAGGTATAAAAATGAGTAAAGTAAATCGGAGTGGCACGCGGGAAGTGATTTTTAAAGTTTTCCAGCGATGTTTCGAAGACTACCAAGCTGGACGAATTTTGAGGGATTTGGACGATGTTTATGGGCGAACAGCATCTATGACGGGTATGTAATCGTGTAACTATTTGTTTGTAATCTGCCTGAAGTTACAAATTTACTCAATTTACGATTTTGAGACTAAAAAAGGCATTGTTTACATTGCACATTTTTTGGTTAGATTCACATTGTAAATAGGAAATATTGTAGTATGACCATTTCTTTTGATACGTTATTATGGTTCAACTCGGTCAGGTTTTCTACCAATTTTGAATTAATTCCTTCATGTCAATAAGTTATTGTTTCTATTCCGTTACATATTTTTTTACCTTTTTTCAGGAAAATCAGAGAGTCGGATAGTCAACGAAGGTTTTAAGAATGATGGAAAGTTTGAAACTCCTGGGAAAACAGGCAAGGCCGACCAAAGAAAGAAATGGTCACATAAAGAACCATGGCCAGATGCTTTTAGTGAAGATACCTATCACCCAATTTATAAAACCAATTTTACTAACTGCACATTTACAAATTGTTTCTCTAAATAAACTTTTTATATACTATAAAATGATTTTTAGTATTATTTTCTTAACAAGTGTGTTAAAAAACGTCGTATGATGATACTTGTGTGTATTGATGATTACCTAACGGCTCTGGTCTCAATGGCACCTCAGCGGTAATCACCAACATTACACACTTTTACACTATGAAGTACTATTTTATCTTTAATAATTTTATTCTGATTCAATTAAATATGCTTGGCTAAACTTTTTTAAGCATAGGTACCTACTATATATAAAACAGAAACAAAATACGACTGTATAGTGTGTCTTATTAATTACCTATTGTACTTGAATGAACTGCTAGTATCAAAATCATTTTGGTCCGACTGTAAAGGGTTGCTACATGTATACTAGTGGCGCCATCATTTAATGTCACGACTTTATAGACAAACTGTATATATTATATTTATATTGTTTTGATTATGTATTTTTTTGCAGTCTACATTAACGGATGTCATTTTTTGTGTTTTTTCTTCCAGTTGGCTTTGGGATCGTACACGTTCGTCATATTCGCATTCCTCCAATTCATTTTCATCATGTTTATATTCTTCAAAGTGCCGGAGACGAAGAATAAAACGATAGAGGAGATAACCGCCATGTTTAGACAACAAATTTAACGTAGGTATCTGCAGAACTTTGATATATATTTAATGTTAATGACGTGGGATGTTTTTTTGTTCTCAATCGTAAAAAAAAAATATAATGTAGTTAGGTAGTCTGTGCATGACAATGAAAGTTTTAAAGTTTTTTTTTAAAACCCATAGACAATTTTTAAGGTGTGCTACTTGCGGGCGCCATTTTTCAAATTGTTTACTAAACTTTTCAAACAGATTTTGCTGATGATTTTAACTTTGTTGTAATAATAAGCTTACTAAATATGTAGGCATCTAGTTGCCCGGTACCTACGTTATGTATTTATACTATATCGAAACATTACTAATTTTATTTTAAAAACTAAACTAGTTAAAAAACTGTTAGTTTTGTCCTGTCCTATGCTTAATTATTTTTTCCTTGATAAGTTGTTCATAAATTACTATTTTCTGTCGTAAATGCACATTTTTAAATACTTAGGTATTATTTAGACTTCCCTACTTATTATTTTCTATATGAGTATGAATTTTGATATTATTATATTAGTAGTGTCACATTTTCGTAATGTTTTACTGATGTTGTGTATGCTCATTGTATAATGAGAGGTAGTGATTTTTAATGTAAAGCGAGCATTTTATGCAAGCATTTTCATTGTACTCGACATGTTACGAATTGGTTCAGTTATTGAAACCTCTAGTTAAAAATATGTATAAAAATTAAGAAATCAAATTTTACTATAACTGTTTACTATAATTCAAATATGTACTTAATAGGAGTATTAAGAAAATGATAAAATACATTTGACAAACTTTTCCAAGGCGTATGTGATGCCGACACACCGCTTGGCTATTTGTAAACTTGACCATTGTTCGAGCGCCAGCCTAATAAAATGAAACTGAGCACGCATGGACATATTATTTTTTTAAATACTGGCTGTATAATACAAAATTCGATTAGGCTTAAAAAAAAAAAGATTGTTCATTGCCGTCAAAATAATTGACTTTTAAATACGCATTTTTTCACAATGTAAATAATTAATTTTTAAAACTTGAATTAAATAGTTTAATGACAATTAAACCACCGTTTATTAATAACGTCTGTCCTTATCATGCATCAAATAGAATGAAAAGGACAGATCTATTTTAAGTTTGAAAATAGCAAACACGAATAGCCATGTGAAGTGACGGCGTGATTGTTTGTCAATGTTTACTGTATAGCTTGTAAGTGGATGGTAATGATTGTACTGATCACAATGTTAAGACTTGTTCTGTGTTTGTATTTCTAATAATTATTAGTTGATTTAGGAACAGGAAATCTCAATTATAGATCATTAAGTGCCGGTATTTATAATGTACACGCACATCATGACGCTTCCCGGTATGAATTTGCGCGCCTTGACTGTGGCGCGCATCATTGGTGCGTAAGACAAAGCGGCGTGCCTGCGCGCCGGCCAATCAGCAAACCAGCCCCTAACAAGGGATATACTGGGTTTTTCCCGGATGTAACGGGCATCGGCATCGGGGGCGCTCTACGGCTTCGGAACGACCACTTCGGCACGGTTGCTTTAAGCGGACGGACGGACCGGCTCCCTGGTGTAACGGTGATACAGCGAGGACCACGGGGCCTCCAAACACAAGCGGCTATTTGCACGGTTTCGCCAGCTCAAGCCCCTCTATCACAGCAAAGGTAAGCGCACTTTTCTTACTGGGAACATGATTGTGTGTGTGTACCTCGGATAAAACCTATCTCTGTCTCACCTACTAGCCCTATCGGTATACAACAAGTCCACTATAATCTACGGCGGTCGCAGTAAGTCATTAAACGGAACATAATTTGATCCTTCCACGCGCGGATGGTGAGATTCGTAGTAGGTATTCTCTAAAGTTATTGTGTTTAATTTCGGTTCGGTAACTCGGTTTAAATAAGTAGAATAGTCGGTACGGTAAACAGTGTTTCGGTTTAAATAAGTAGAATAGTATAAAAATTCGGTACGGTAAACAGTGTTTCGGTTTAAATAAGTAGAATAGTATAAAAATTCGGTACGGCAAACAGTATTTTGGTGGGAAATTTGTGACTGCGTAGATAGTAACTAACGGTAGTTTTTCAAAATCAAAATGGCGAAGGCTAGCGAAGCCAAGTTTAAACTACAATGCGACTGGTTTCAGAATTCAGTAGATTACTTAGAATCATCAGGCCATACCCCTGTTTTTTCGGCTAGGTTGCGTAAATTAGAAACGCACTATCAAACTTTAACTAGTGCATACGAACACCTACTAGAGGTTGAGTCCGACCCAGACCAAATAAAAGTATATGACAATAAATACGCTACTGCCACGCTGCAATACGATACACTGGTCGCGGAGGTGGAGTATTCGGACTCACAGGCCAAAGACGGAAGCGACAACAGTAGATCCAGCGGTACGCCGGCTGCGCGGTTGCCTCAGATAGCCTTACCATTCTTTGATGGGGACTTATTCACATGGTCCAGTTTTCATAGTCTATTTAGTTCACTTGTATTGACACGAACCGATATTACGAAAACGGAAAAATTTCACTATTTATTTACCCACGTACAAAAGGAACCAAAGACGCTTATTCAACATTTACCGATGGTTGAAACTTCACTGGACATAGCCTTACAAATCCTACTGAATCGATACGAAAATAAAAGATTACTCGCGGACACGTATATTTCTCGGATATTGAACGTCCAACCCTTAAAAAGTTTGGCTATGATGCGGTCAAGCATTTTGAACCCGCTTTTGGAATGCACACGGGCGTTAAAAGGTCTAGGTTTGCCAGTAGACGAGTGGAGTTACATACTCGTTCACATCGCACTTACCAAGTTACCCACGGAAATAAAAACACGATTCGAGCAGAAATACGGCGGTACAAAATCTGATTTTCCTACATTTGATGAGTTAATGTCGTTTTTACAAAATGAATGTAGCATGATAGATACGGCAAATACGGAATATAGTAATCCCCCTCATAAACCCTATACTAATGTAGATCTTTCGAAAATGCCACGCCACTATATAGGAAATAGCGGGCAGTTTACACAGGCAGCCCGCCAAAATACGGTTCGGAGAAATCACCACGTGTTCCCTCCACGGCCCGGAATGGCGGCGGTACATGTTATGCCTACGCGTCGCCATGAAAGCGGCTCGCACAGTGGGTTGTCCTGTGTCTTTTGTTCAGCTACGGGGCATGTAATTGATAACTGCTATAAGTTTAAGAAAGGAGATTGCAATGAACGGCGAAGGTGGATACGCGAATACAATCTTTGTTTCCGATGCTTCGGCAGTCATTTGGCAAATCGGTGCAATAAAAATGTCCCATGCGAGCAATGTGGAAATGTGGGCCACCATAGTTTGATTTGTTGCCCACCACCAACACAACATAGTTTTAATGACCGTACTCAAAATGAACGGACGGTACACGCCTTTAATTATGGGCCGGCGTCGGCCAACTCAGGTTTCCCATCTGTTCGGTCTATGCCAGCTATGGTGGATACGGACGCCGCGGATTTCATTCATCCTTCCAGTATCAGCAACAACAATAATACTGCTCAATAGCAATTAACTTCGGACTCGGAGGTGAATCAGAATACAACGGTCGGCCCTCCGGTTCCGAAATTAATTAATAATGTCGTTTTACCCACGGTTTCGGTTAAAGTTGTTGCTGTTAACGGTGATATATTTAAGGTTAGGGCATTGTTAGATTTTGGTTCACAGGTATCGGTAGTTCGTAGTGATTTAGTCAATAGGTTAGGTTTAAAGAAATATTATTCGGTTACTGCCTTAACGGGAGTCGGTGGTAACTTGGGTCAAAGTAGCAATTATATTGTCCAGCTGCATTTTTGTTCGGGACGGGAGAATAATAACGGTACGGTATTGTTATCAGTGAATGCAGTTGTGTTAAAGACTCCGACAACTTACGTTTCCCCTAATTTCGACTTTGGTGATTGTTCGCAAGTAGATATTATTTTTGGTTGTGATGTTCTCGGTGAAATTATTGAAGGCAGGAAGGTGACCTTACGGCCGGGTGGACCTTATGCAATTGATACCATTTTTGATTTTGCGATTTTCGGGCCCATGTGTGGGAATATAAAAAAAAATAATACGGACCCTTTTGCGGGTGTGTCTTTAGTGGAAGCGGTTGAGCGTTTCTGGAAATCGGAAGAACCACCCAAACTTAAAATTAAGGACCCGGTTGATATTAAATGTGAAGAGCTGTTTGTCAACACAGTTGAACGTTGTTCGGATGGCAAATACACGGTGCGGTTACCATTGATTCCAGATCATGCCGATTTAGGTGACTCTCGAGCGCTTGCGGTGCGGCAATTTTTATCTTTAGAGCGAAGAATGAAAGCTCAACCCTCCTTTAAACAAAAATACATTCAATTCATTAACGAATATTTACGACTCGGTCATATGCAACTTTCGAACTTTGATATTAATTCAGGTAACGAACACTACTTTTTGCCTCATCATGGCGTATTTAAAACTTCGGGCGACACCAAAAAAATTCGCGTTGTTTTTAATGGTAGTAGTAAAACGACAACGGGTGTTAGTCTTAATGATTGTTTGTATTCCGGTGAAAAGTTGCAAAATGATATAACTTTGGTTATTTTAAATTTTCGAGTACCTCTCTTTGTTTTTACCACCGATGTGAAAATGATGTTTAGGATGACGTGGATTCATGCGGATGATCGCAGATATCAGCTGATCCTGTGGCGTGAAAATCCATCGGAGCCGTTGCGGATTTATGAACTTACCACTAACACTTACGGGTTGAAGTCTAGTCCATTTATTGCAATACGTTGTTTGCATCAGTTAGCTACGGATGAAATGGAACGCTTTCCCAGAGCAGCTAAGTTGCTACTTAACAATGCATACGTGGATGACCTTAATGGAGGTGCTGACACACTTGCAGACGCTCGTGAGCTTCGGGACGAGCTAGTACGACTCATGAGTACGGCCGGTTATGAGTTGCGAAAATGGGCATCGAATGAACCTTTACTCCTTAATGGCATTCCGGATGATCATTGTGAGATGCCTCGTTGTTTTGAGGATAGTGACAGCAGAGGTTTTGTTAAAGTGTTAGGCATTGAATGGAACCCTTCGACAGATGCTTTTACTTATAAAATCAGGAACTTACCTTCGGGAACTGAGACGGTCACACGGCGTAGCATACTTTCCTCATTAGCAAAACTGTTTGATCCTTTAGGTTGGATATGTCCTATTGTTTTTCGTGCAAAGCTATTGCTGCAAGAGTTGTTAAATGATGGGGCACGGCGTGTGGATTGGGATACGCCAGCTCCTGAACAATTAGTCCTAAAGTGGAATGAGTTTGTTTCGGACTTACCATTTATTCAAAATATTTCCATTCCTCGGTGTTTAAAGTCCCACAATGATAAGTTGTTTTCCCTTCATGGATTCTGTGACGGTTCTTCTTCGGGCTACGCTGCCGCTGTCTACTTGCGTACAGAAAATGGAAATAGCGACGCTTCGGTCCGGCTAATAATGGCTAAGTCTCGGGTGGCTCCATTAAAAACGAAAATGACTATACCTCAGTTGGAGCTCAGTGGAGCAGTACTTTTAGTAAATCTGTTAAAACATGTTTTTTCGGCTTTGTGTAATCTCTCGGTTATTATATCGGATATCATTGGTTGGTGCGATAGCACTATTGTACTAGCATGGTTAGGTACTCCACCTCACAAATTAGAAGTTTTTCAAGGTAATCGAGTGTCGCAAATTAATAATGCGAACCTACCTATTCAATGGAGACATGTACCCGGTGTTCTCAATTGTGCGGATGTTGCGTCTCGGGGTTGTTCAGCTGCCCAGCTCTTACAGAATCCATTATGGTGGGAACCCCAGTGGCTCCGTCGATCACGTCAGTCCTGGCCCGACGAGCATGTGGAGGCTCCCTCAGATTTACCTGGCTTACGGTTACGGTGTGTGGCGGTTACAGTTTCGGCTTCGGATGTTATTTCGGACCTGTTTGGTCGGTTTGGTTCCTTTGATACGGTTGTCAATATTATCGGTTTTGTAATTAGGTTTATAAATAATTGTCGGCGAAAAACATCTTTTGGCAAAAATGTTTCGGTCTCTTATTCCTTCGGTAAAAATATTTCGGTTTTGGAACGTCGCATGGCGTTAACTTATGTAATCCGGTCGGTTCAAGGTTCATATTTTGGTGAATATATAAGGGCCTTAAAATTAGGCAAGGCGATTCGTGATTCGGCGCGAAAACTTAATTTGTTTGTGGATAGGAATGATGTGATCAGGGTAGGCGGACGAATTCGGCATTCGGAACTACCTTATTCGGCGCGACATCCTATC